CTTCATCGTTCGCCGCCACTTTCTTTATGATGCTCGATAACTTGCAGTATGACAACATTCTTTTAAATTACAGTGGAAGCGCCGGCAATGGCCTGGTTTTGTATGTCCTTTACATCGCTTATTGCTTTATGATGCCGATAATATTTCTTAACTTACTGGTGAGTGAAAAGCACATCTATTTTAAAAACACCTTGGTGTCACAGCCCTTTCAATAATTTCGCGTAAACCTAACCACTGGAAGAAGGAGGAAAACCAGTGTATCCTTAGGAAAAAAACTCGGAGCAAGGCGAGAACCAACAACAAGCTCAACCCACATACGTAACCAGGCCGGAAGAGAACATTGGAGGGGGTGGGTAGGGGAGGGGGGGAGGTTGGCAAAGAGCGCTCCCAGACTTCACCATCCTTCCTTCACTCATTTCTGTGATTTCTCTGTAATATACATTTTGGTCCTACTCCGTTCATGTTGTGTTTCGTTACTGAGTTTTCAAGTCTCTGAATTTTAGATTGGTTTAGCAGTAGGAGATATCGATACCATCCGCAAGACAGCAGCTCTGGAAAGATACACAAGCCAGGTAAGTTTATATACTACACGTACTCACTGCAATAAAAGCGCGCACTCGACTGTGCGCGATTTTTATCTCTTAACAGTACTAGCATTATAGGCACGCAAGGCATGCAGAGAGTAAAGCTTCATCATTAGCATGAAATACATTCTATGATGCTACTTTTAAATATAATCATTATGTTGCTGTTATTAGGATAGGTAATCGCATGAATGCGAGTGCAACTTGAGTTTTACACTACCAGTGACATTTAAAAGAATTGTCAAGTATCACGAGTAGTGTGAATCCCCAAAATGCTTGAGCCTTCGTACGATTACTCACTTATTATGACTGGGAAAACAACGAACGCGCATGCGTTAATTTTGCAAATTAACGATAAATTGGCCAGTACTCAGCCAATCACAATGAAGTAATTTTCTCAGTAATGAAATGATACTTTAACACTACTGTAGGATTCATTTCGATATCTTAAATTAAAATTCAGCCTAAAACAATAGACCTCAGCTCAAGGTTCTGGGGAATAAACCCCACAAACTCTGTAGTTATTCCCTGGAGCCCGTTACTGAGGTCTATTGTTTTAGGCTGAATTTTATTAAATCGAAATTGGTTTATTTCATAACATGTTTCGGAAAACCAGTTATAGTCAATAATCCATTTCTTATAGACAGTCTTTCATTATCAGCGCGTCAATACACACACGATCTAACACCCTCCTGTTTTCTTCCTTTGTTAAGAAGGTAAAGTAGCATTTCATTACGCTTGGATTCATTCCAGCACGCTGATCTATTTATTTTGACCCTTTTAGGTAGAGCATTTGTCTCAGCTTGAACGCGCCATTCCAACCTTTATTCTAAACAGTGTACTGGTCACAGAGTACGTGGAGTATCCTAACAAACCAAAGAACCTCAAGACTAAGGTGTGTTAACACTTAATGAAGTCATTTTTTTATTGACCATTTCAAAATGTTAAAGCAAGCCGCTACGAACGATGGTCCTGCTGGTATACAGAAAATGAAGAATCTAAACTGAGCAGGGACAGACACAACGTAGGATGAATTTAAAATTTGGTGTACTACATTTCGGCTCAAACCAGCCTTCTTCAGATACGCGAAGACGGCTGGTTTGGCCAGCCGAAATATACTACACCAAAATTTAAAATCATCCTATGTGTTTTGTCGGTCTTTTCAACTATGTGGACTATCTCACAGGCTAAACGGTTGTTTAACCCTCTCGACGTCACTGCGATCGTCCTTGGACCGTCTAATTATGGTTCGAGGACAGTTTTGACACGAAACTCGACAAGTGTCTTTCGCAACATTGAGCTTAGTCTCATGTAAACGGGCCTGTGTATTTTATCAGACCGTCACGGCGCAGTTTTAGTGCTGGGAATGTCCACGAATGACTGTTCGAGAGTTGAGGTTTTCAATATTCCAGTAATGTTGTTGTCGAGCCTGTAGCTCTAATACAGAAATTAAAAGTTATGACAAGATAATGTATTCTTGGTTTTGTTCAAACTGGAGA